TTCTGCTTTCCAGATGACTGGATTTCTTCCGGCGCCTCTCCTTCCCCAAGAGGGGGATCCTCTAAAACCGCACCCAAACTACGTTCCCAGGGAACTCCCCATCCCTTCAGATTGCACTCCCGGACTGAATTACTTAGTACATCGGGTGTCTGGCATAAGAGGAACCCCATCCATCATGGCTAGAAAAACCAAACTGGGAAAATCAAATGCTTGGGGTGGAGTGGGTGCAGGAAGATTACTACTGGGGATCTCTTCTCTCCTCCGGGGACCCCTGCGGGGACCCACTCCAAGCCACGTGGGGCGGCGGGAGTGAGGCGTACCCCACCCCCACCTCAAGAGCTTTGGAAAATAAACTGCAGAGAACAATGAATTCCGAAAGACGGGCGAAGCTCGGGGGAATGAGAACGTTCCCCTTAGACATTCTTTAAGTTTAATCATTAAAGTAGATCCTTTAAAAAGGAGACAGCCCCTTCATGCTGCCGTTAGTGACAGTCTGCCCCACACACCCGCGGCAGAGTGAAAGAAAAATCTGGACCTAGCTTTGTTTCTTCGCTCCCAATAGCAGTCTTAGGGACACCAAACCTCTGATTTCTGGCCACATCAAAGCCCTGATTATGCAAATACCCATTTTTGTAAGAATAAAAGAAAATGGAGGGGGAATTATTTATCACACAATGAACCCCCTGCCAGGGCGGGAAACAATAGATCAGACTAGATAGCCCTCCTAGCCCCAGGCTTCGGGAGCGAGGAGGGAGGGGGTGCTGCAGCCCTCACGTTTTATTGGCCTAACCTAATTTCACTAATTCTCCTTTCACACACTTCTTTTGCTGATTCGGAGGCCAGGACTTTCACGCTCTCTGCCCTGGCGCGATTCAAGGGCTGCCTGCTTTATTTAATTAATATATTCAAAGCTGGCCTGGGAGCCCGAGGCGGCTGGGAGAGGCCCTGGCCCCGCGTGAGAAGGCGCCTTTAACCGGTTCCAGGTGTCGCCTCCTAGTTACCACGGCCCACGGCTGTGCGGTGTGGAGCTCTTCTGGGTAGGGCACCCGCAGTTCCCAGCCTTGCCTGGCCGCCAGGCCGCCTTTGCATCCTCGCCCAGCTGGTGACGTAAAGGCTTCGGGGGCTATCGCCGGACGGGACCCTAGCGGCACAGGAGGCCGGCGACCTTGCACCGCCTATGCCACCTATGCATTGAGCAGCAGGAGCGACTCTTCTCTCAACACCAGCCTCTCACTTGACCCTAGTCCAGCTCTTTTTTCCCCCTCCGTCTTGGCCTTAGACAGTTGTATTTAAAATCGGGTGAAAGAAATGGGAGTATAATGAGGTCTGAGCACCCTAGAACAAATGGCCGGCAAAGGTTTTCGAGCTACACTCAGGTGAGGACAGGACCAAGCTCATGCACTGGAGCTGGAATGACCTAGCAACATGGGCAGTATGGAGCTGTCCCCAGAGGAGCATCTCCACGGCTCTGCTTCAAATCTGTCCTTAGAGCCTCTGAGATAGAATAACATTCTCCCTGGTCCATGGGACTGTGTGGTACAGACACACCCAGCCCATCAAAACTTTGTTCCCGACTGCTTGTGATAGACTGATTCGCCAGTAAGCCCCCAAAGAATTTTCCTCTCCCCAGCTCAGCTCCCCAGTGCTGGGATTATGCCAGGCTTTTTGTGTGTGTGCGCTAGGGATCTCATTCACCTCCTCATGTTTTCACCACGAGCCCTTTATGGACTGAGCCATCTTCCCAGCCCCCTACCCCCAATAATAGCATTCATAGGTACTGGAATTAGACAAGTAAATATAATTGTACCAACTTAGCGTATAATAATATGTTTTAAATTGGGGTGGGAAAGCTAGAATATGATTCTGGGATGGTAGGCAGAACCCCTAGTGTGTAGGACATGATGCCTGTGTGTATGGGTACCTACCTGCAGACTCTGGCTTCCAGAAGATGGACAAGTACTTTCTTCTGGGCCTGGAGAAACTGTAGAGGTGACTGCTAGATGCTGGGGCTGAGTCATTAACCATGTTACTCAAAGCTATAAGGATTGAGCCATCTACCATCCCTGCTGCCATTAGGATCACCTGGTCATAGGATCGCCTCTGCAGAGAAGATCTTGAATAGCTGGAAGACTATCTGCCCCAGAAGTCTGCTTCACAGACCTATGCAAGCTTCCAAAAGAAGCATCATACAGCACCATAAGAATCATCAACAGAATAGGCGTGTTTGGCATCAAAAAGCTATTTTCAAACTTTCATACTACTGTTTTTCTGCTTGCTGGTTGGCTTTGGGGTGAGGGGAGGGGGTGGCTCCTTGACAGAGTGCTTGCCTAGCATCCATGAAACCCTGGGTTCAATTCCTAGCATCTCAACAGAAAAAAAAAGGTGGATCAAACAGGTCCCTCTTTTAGTCCAGCATGAAAGTTAAGCAAACTCTTTGAGTTGATCCTTCCTTTGGTAAAAATGTAATTATTAAAATATTAAACACTTTAAAATTCCATATGGATGCAGAGGTTCAGATAGGTACCTGGGAAGAAGCAGTCACTTCTTTATGCAAAGGAACAGAGGATTTAGCTTAAAGCAAAAACAGATTATCAAAGGGCTGGAGCGATGATTCAGTGGTTAAGAACACTGGCTGCTTTTGTAGAGGACTCAGATTCCTTCTCAGCATCCACATGGTGACTAACAACCATCTGATGCCCTCTTCTGGCCTCCACTGGCATTGCAAACATGGGTACACTTACACACATGCAGGCAAAACACGCACATCAAATTAATAAATATTTTTTAAAAATTTAAAAACATGACTTTTTATGGGAAGAAAGTACCTTTTCAAAAACCACATAATTTTCTTTTAGCTTGTGTGCTCATAGATGTCCTTTCCCCTAGGGCTTAAATCTAGAATGTGGCCAAACTTAATGTGGTCGTTTTTGGTTTATTTTATTTTATTTTATTTTTTTTATGTGTATGAGTGAATTGCCTGCATGTATGTGAGTGCACCCATGTCGCGCAATGCCGTGGAGGTCAGAGGAGGGCTCCAGATTCCCCTGGAACTGGAGTTAAGGATGGTTCATAGCCACCATGTGGGTGCTGGGAATCGAACCCGGGTCCTCTGCAAGCGCAGTCAGTACTCTTAACTGCTGAGCCATCTCTCCAGCCCCTAATGTGGTCATTTTTAAACCACAGATAATCGCAGGACATTTCTGCATTGGAGATTAAGTTGTCGGTTACATTATTTTTGCTTCCTCTTTGAACAAAGATTAGAAAGCAGAGCTATTTCTTTCAATAGATTATTTGTATTTGAACTCACTCTGAGTATCTCCTTTTTTTCTAGAAGTTTGACTTTTGAAACCACCTGGTTTGTTCAAATGCCTAATACAAAATCAGCCAGCAATAACAAGCTTATAAATATTGTTACATTATAGAAGGCAAAGCTGGAAGAGGGAGCCTATAGGGATCACGATTCAGTTCCTTCAGTTTACAGATGAAAATTGCAGCCAAAAGAAGAGGAAGAAACAAATTTTTACATACTCTGCCAATAAATTTCAACCTCACTACTTTTTAAAAATCAAGATTTTCTGGACTCTGGAGCCTGTAATGACTCACCATTTAAGTCCCTCCACCTCTTCATCTTCTTTGTTCAGAAATAAATTTATTTATTTAGCCACCCAGGGCCTTTGGCATGCTGGGCAAATGCTCTACCATTGAACTATGTCCCGAACTCAGAGACTGATTTCCTAAAAGTAAAGTTTGAGTTTGTATTGATTTGCACTCTTATTTCATGACTCCATGTTTTGTAATTTCTTAGTGAAGTTCTACATCAAACGTTGCCACCAAAATACAAGTAGTATATTTAACAGGGAGAGGACCTTAGAAAAGCACAACTCATTCTACACTTAGAATGCATGCCAGACGTGGTGGCCCATGCCTTTAATCCCAGCACTCGGGGAGGCAGAGGCAGGCGGATCTCTGTGAGTTCAAGGCCAGCCTGGTTTACATAGTGAGTTCCAGGCCAGCTGGGGCTACAGGGAGACCCTGTCTCAAAAAGAGCCCCCCAAAAAAGAAATTAGAATGCAATACTAAGTTATGAAAATTAGATACTTTATTTATAGCTTAATCACAAAACAATTTCCTTGCTCTTCAAGATGTAAATACATACTAGAATAAACTCTGTAGAATATACAAAAAATATTTTTCCCATGAAAATTTTCTTAATAAATAGAAGGGAACACGTGTGTGGCTGATCCTGATAATGTCCCATGTCTGCTTAGGTTTTCAGACTGTTGATTTATTTTTAATCTCTTGAAAGGATGGGGGAGTTCCTTCTCCCCTAAAAGGTCGAGATAAATAATGCATGAAGCAATCCTCCCTCTTGATTTTTCCCTTTTCCTCCACATTTTTCCTTTTGATAGAAAGTTCAGCCTAAATTTCCACGCTTGCATTCAATCCTTACAAAGCCTACAAATTATACAATGACTTCTAACCTGGCCCTTTAACAAAACAAGTTTTCCCCTTATAAATCATAAGGGACAGATGGCAAAGTGGGGGTTAGGGAAGAGAAGAACGGGACAATAGGCATTGTGACGAATCTGGGAAAAAGACAAAGTGCACAGCAGACAGGGAGTTTGGTTTGACATGTGAGATTCCCACAGCCACCACAGCAATGGGAAGGGAGCAGGTGCCAGACTCTGTAAATGTGGGTAATGTTGTTACCGGTAAATTCATTCAGATGCTAAGATACGTTTCTTCCGACTGACATTAACATCTCTGTGTAGAAGCGAAGGTGAAGAGATCACAGGAACCAGTTGCGTACCCTCTGTGAGAGTCACACCAACTGCTCAGAGGCTCGGAGGGGAGGGAGAAATGTCGGAGGCCTCCGCAAACCCCCGTCTTTTCTCCGTGTTTTTCTAGTCTGAAGAAGCGCCCCTCCCGCCCCCGACCCCGGCACCATCCTCTTTGACCGTAAGTTCCCTCACACCTTCAATAAACCAGAGCGGGTCTGAACGAAGTTAACCCACAGCCAAATGCACCATCCACCCAAGAGTTCACCAAAGCTAAGCCTGCTCGGTGAAGCGGTTGCCAGGGTGTGGACAGTGGGGGCAGGGGGACAGGCGAGGACAGGAAAGGAGCGTCCCGACGCCGGGCGTGGGTGGCAGAGGTGGCTGCTCACATACAGTCCCCGGCTAGGGGCAGGTGAGGCGCATAGCGGTGCTTGTCCTGAGCTGGGGGCTGCCAGTAGTCCACGTCTGACCCTGCGGGGCTGGCCGGCGATAAGGAGCAGCTGTACGGGGACTTGGAGCTGGAGGACGCAGAGGACGACGCGGGGCTGTCAGTGCAGCTCCACGCGGAGGACGGCGACGGGCTGTCCCCGCTGGCGCTCAGCGCAGCTCCTGCTCCGGGGCTCAGCAGCACCGCGTCGGAGAAGAGCGCCCCGGGGAGGCCGCCGCCCCCGCAGTGATCAGCCAGGCGCAGGGTCTCCGTGAGCGCCCAGATGTAATTGTGCGCGAAGCGGAGGGTCTCGATCTTCGTGAGCTTGGCGTCCTCGGGAAACGTGGGGAGCACCTCCCGCAGCGCGTCGAGCGCCGCGTTGAGGTTGTGCATGCGGTTGCGCTCGCGGTTGTTGGCCTTCAGCCGGCGGGTCTTCTTGATGCGCTGCACGGTCTCGGCGGTCTTGGCGCCGCGGGACACCGGCCGTGAGCGAGAGGGGCGCCGCTTGCACTCGTGCACCAGGCCCAGCAAGCGCGCGGGCCGGCAGCCCCCGACCCCAGGTGCCAAGCCGCCCGGCGCCCCCTGCCCAGCTTCGGCCCCAAGCTGCCCGCGGGCAGCGCGGCTCCGGCGGGGCTCCTCGTCCTCCTCGTCCGCGCTGGACGACAAAGTCAGGGTCGCCGAAGCCGGGGACGCGGAGCCCAGCAGCACCAGCAAGTCCTCCTCCTCCTTCAACTCCAAAGTCTCAGATTTGACAAACATCCTACGGCAGAGAGCGGGGGAGGGGAAAGAGGCAAGTAAGTTATCGCGGAAACACTCGTGGGGCGCGTCACGGTGAGCACCCCCGAAGATCGAGGGGCGAGGTGGAGAGGAGCTCGGCTGCTGCACCCGAAAGTCCCGGGCGTCAGGAGCGGCTGTGCCAGTTGGAAGCCGCGGCGTGGACGCTTACCTCGTCGGCTCTCAGAATGTACCCGCGTGACTGTCTGGCGCGTGTCGCGGAATGTTCCCGCAGCCAGTCCGGCTCTGCTGCAGAGCCTCCGCCCGGCTCTAGGGTGGCGCGCCTAGACCGGGGTTCGCGGGTCCCGCGACTTTGCCAAGCGCTCCGCGGCCGCCTCCGCCCACCTGGGTCTCGTATGCTGTGCAGCTAGTGCGCGTCCGTCTGTCAGTCAGTCCCCGGCCGTGCGGCTCCTGGCACGCGACTCCCAGGCACTCGAGTTAAAGCGAAACTGCCTGTGGTTCAGCGGCTGCGTGTCTGGCACACGACTCTCCTTAAAACCCCTTATATACCACCAAAACAATCAGATTTGCCCCCGGCCCATTCCTCACCTCCCCCCGCCGCCGGCCGCCTCCCTGTCCTGGCCCCCTGGCTCCCCCGCGCCTCCCTCCCGGGTTATTCTTTTCATCGTATTCTCATCACTCATTTCTTTGCCTTTCTTTAGCTCCTCTCCCCCTCCCCGGGCCCTGCCATCTACCCTCCTCCTCCATCACCCCCGCCCCTCCGTCCCCCTTTATCTCATCAACATAAAATGGTTCTAAAGCTCTGGTTGGTGCTCCGGGCTGCAGCCCGAGCTGCCGAAGCCCCGGTGGCGGCCGCAACTCACACTGCGGCGGTTGTCGCCGCCGCTGTCTATTGTGATTGGTGGCTCGCGCTCGGCTGGAGCGTGCCGCTAATTTATTAATGAAAGGAGGTCGCGAGGCGCAGCTGGCCAATCAGGGTTCCCGGGACTCCGGGAGGCCGGCGAGCCACGCGCACCGGAGCCGGCTCCCTTTCAGCCGCTCATTAGGTGCCCGAGTGCTGGGGGCCCACGGGGGATCCCGTGCTGCAGCTCCCTGGGGTCCTTGCAGCAGCCGCTGCCCCCGCCCGACGCACGCACTCGCATCCCACCCTCCGGGCTGGCCTCCTCGCTGCGCGGCGATGGGAGCCGAGGAATTAGTTAATGGAGGTCAGAATCCCGGGGGTAGCAGTTAGCTCTGCGGTGCTGCTGGTCGCTGGCAAAGCCTCTTAAGGGACTGTATCAAACAGCAGACGGCTTTTAAAAACTCATTCACTTAGGAAAGGGAAGGAGTGCGTACGGGTGGAGAGGCAGTGGGCACTTTGTGAGCCAGGGTGTCTGAGTTCCAGAAAAATTGGATACCGGGAGACCTTAGAGGTTGGTAAGGATGTCCCCTAGAAGGGAAGATGGTTCGGGGATTGTTGGAATAAATGCGCTCACGTTACAGACTCTAACGAGGACTCTTCGTTTTACCTGTGACATGCTGAGGTTCCACACACGGACGTAGGTTTGGAGTTTGGGTACGTTTGGAGGCTTTAACAAAGTAGAGCTGGGTGAAGACGTACCGCGGCTTCCTGTGTGGGTGGCAGCCAGCATGCCCCGACGCCTGTTGCTCCCAGGAGCAAATGAGCTGAACTGACATTTCTGTGACCTTTGCTCCTCGCTAAGGGGCGTTGTAGGGACAAGGGGCCCCTCCTCCCAATTCTCCCACTTTTCAATGAGAAAAAAAGAGTTGAAGGGCTCCTGGACTTGGGATGGAACTTGTTCTGAATTGTTCGTCTGCCCATCCCCCTTCCCGCACGTTCACGCCCCCTCTTGCGGCCCCGGAAATGTGTACTGGGTGAGTGTCATCTGGGACGTGAGCGGCTGGGTTCGGCTGAACTCTTGCACTGACATTCTTTTTGCAAAGAAAATTTAAGCAAGGAACGTTTTGGTGGTGACCTTAGGAGTCCACGAGAGACAGAGAAGGAGATATCTGCCGGTCTCTGTCTCCTTCGTTCATAGGGACTGGAAATAAGTTGTATTTCAGAGGCGAGTGATGATGAAAGGGCTGTTCGCATTTTGGTATGGTATCCATTCGTGTAGTTTTCTGCAGGTGGTAATGAGCAGGACTAGAACGCATGAAGAGAAGACAGTGAAAATTAAGATCTTGAGAGACTTTTGATCTTTGTAACTGTCCAACTTCGGATGTCTTGAAATCCTTGAAAATTATGGTGTTCAACTTGCTTTTTGATCCTTGTTTTCATCTCCTTCTCTTTAAGAACAAATTTCTTAAATTTTAAAGCATTATTTCCTCCTGTTCTCCCTAGGTCCTTTCAGAACTGTTTTTCTTAGCTGCAAGTGCTGAAATGAAGGGGGGGGGGGACCACATCCATTGTCCTCTCCATCTGTCCCTCTCATTCCTTGGTTTCCTCTCTGTCTAGGAACCTGCAGAGGCAGAACTTCAGAAGGCCATATGACCAAAGCAAACAGGCAGGTCAGTCATGAAAGGAGACTGTTTAACTTGCTTGAAGGTGCACATAAGCATTATTTTACAAGTAGTGATCACTGATACCAAACAAGAAAATACTCTGCAAATTCCCCCTAACAGAAAATCCCTTAAAAGCATGGCCTCTGTTTGCCAGATCAGACTGTGGAAGTGGGTGCACAGTTTCTGTTTTTTCATAAACTAGAATGGAAAAAAGGATGAGAACACTAGGGTGTGAAGAAATGATCAAAGACTGTAAAAACAAATACCAGAAGGAAAGGTGTGCCTGCCTTTGGATAGCTACATTTCTCTACTAAATTAATGTACTAGAAAACAAAGGAAGGCTTAATTTAGTGTCAGTAGAAGCACACTCTTCGGGCAGGTTGCTTTCATATTTTGGATTAGCTGAGAAGTGTTAGGTGATTTAATGACTAGATACATTTAGCAGAAGAAAACAGTCATAATTCAGTTAAATATATGCTTTAAAGAGAAACCTCAGGGACCTTGTGTAGGCCCAGATAGCAATGACACAGAGCTGGCCCAATGCTTGGTGTTAGTGAACACACAGTGGATTTCTTGCATTGCTTGTGATCAGTAAGTGGGGTGTCTGATTCCCCACTTTTTATGTTCTGCTAAGATTTTTATGTTCTGATTCCCTGAACATACACATGCTTTTTTGTCCTAGTTAGCTTTCTATTACTGTGATAAAACACTGACCAAAGGCAACTTGGGGAGGAAAGGGTTTATTTGGCTTACAGCACAGTCCATCATGGAGTCAAGGCAAGAGCCTGGAGACAGGAACTGAAGCTGAGACCATGGATGGATGCTGCTTACTGGTTTGTTCCCCCAGCACAGGCTCACCCTGCTGTCTTATTCAACCCAGCACCACCAGCCCAGGGTTCACTCCATCCACAGTGGGCCAGATCCTCCTACAATCATTCAACAATCAAGAAAAAGCCTCACAGACCTGCCAACAAACCAGTCTGATAGAGGAAATGCCCCAACTGAGGTTCCCTGTTTCCAGGTTACAAGTTTCAACTAAAGCTATCCAGAATACTTTCCTTTGACAAAATCCACACTTTGTATATGACTCAAGAGAAGTTTATATGCACATAGAAACATCTGAGCAGACATTTAGTAATTACAACACTATTAAGATTAACTGCACATTTCCCATTATGGAAAGTTCTTTTAAAAGGTAAAACAATGGATGGATCTAGAAACTTATACTAAGTGAAGTAACACAGACTCAGAAAAAAAATGAAGAATGTTCTCACTCATATGTGGCTCCTAGCACCAAATCCTTTTAAATTCCAGGTCCTTTTAATAAGACAATGCTATACAGCAGTCCCTTCTGCATGAAATACCTACCATCATCATGACTTCAGCTGAGCCTGATCGCTAAACATAGTCACAATTCGGCTTGCTGATGGTTGTGCTCATTCATTAAAGGAGTGCCAAGCAGAATCACTGAACCCTCACCTGAGTATCCAGCCACTCTTCCCAGCCAACTAACTAGTCCAGCCTTGGAAGACAAAAGAAAAATAAGGAAGAACCCAATAGAGGGATGCTTTTGGAAGCCCTTGTCAAGAAACTCCAATGGAGTTTCATATGAACATTTGAAAATTGCCCTGTTCTGACTTTTTTCTATTTCTCTGTCTAGAACTTGTAATGCTAATTAGTCTTGCCTTTACTTCCCCTTCACATGTCCTATTTACCAGTCAAGGACTTTCTTTTCTTCTTTCAGATAAGAGTTAGGCAATTTGGGAGTCTTTTAGATAGACCCACTGAAGGGGTACCCCAATTGCCTCACCTTGCATCCCTGTTCAGCATGGAAGAAGCCAGAACTTCTTCTGCATCCCGATTCCCTATTAGCAATCTGGGTAACCCCTTCAGAGGATGGTGTGATAAGAATAGGAGGAAGGAATTGGCTAGGCAGTTAGGGTAAAAAGACCCCAAAGAAAAGTAGCCAGTTTCTTGGCTAAAAGTCAAAATGTCCTTGGGCCTGTTAGCAACATACTCTGTTCCAAAGGCCAAAAAATGTCAAAAGTCTTTGGGAGCTTGTATCTAATCTTTAAAAGATTTTAGGGTTACCACTTCAGAGGGGGGAATGTTGGAGGGGAGGGAGTGGGCATGGATTAGATCAAAACACTTTGTGTGCATGTATGAAATTCTCAATAAAGTTTTTGTAAAAAATTTAAAAAATAAAAAAAGTAAAACAAAAGGCAGACAGGCATGGTGGCACATGCCTTTAATTCCAGCACTTGGGGAGGCAAAGACAGGTGAGTTTGAGGCTAGCCAGGGTTTCATAATGAGACTCTATCAAAAACAAACAACAAAAAAATAAAAATAAAAACTGTCAAGAAACTTAGAATTGTGTACATATTCAAACCCCTAATTCAATTAAATATCAAGATATCATGGGCTCAAAACCTTTGTTTTTTAATAAGAAGATCTCGTGTGGTTTATGCAATGGAAGTATATTAGATTGATGTGTGAAACACAGGTGTAAATATCACCTGTATTAATTTTGGAACTCAGAATTTTGTGTTTGCACCGTAGTTCTCCTGAGGTAATACTAGAGCACTTCTAGAAATATTTCTAAAAATGATATTTCTAAAAAAATATTCAAAAAGAAGGCACTGGATGGATCAGGGATTAAGAACACTGCTTTTGCAGAGGCCTAGAATTCAGTTCCCAGCACCCATATGGCAGCTAACAACCTTCCATAACTCTGGCTCCAGGGGATCCAGCACCCTCTTCTGACCTCTATGGGTATTGCTGCCCTTACATACATGCAAGCAAAACCTTCATTCACATAAAAAAATAAATAAATAATTTTTTAAAAGAATAAAAAGAAAAGAAACTAGCCCAGAGACAGGCTGAGAATCCTTGTGCAATCCAGAGACCATACTCAGTTGCCTAGATCAGAATTCTATTTGTTCAGCATTGTGTTCAGTTTTGCTGGGAAAATAAGTAATATCGATTTGTACTCAGCTTTGCGAAGACGTGACCAACACCAGACACCCTTAGCTAGACTCTTCTAACACTCTTTTAACTTAAATAAATTCAAGAGGCACTTGTGTGGTCTGAAAGACTGTCCAGATGAA